TTAAGGCACAACTTCTTCCAGGGGTAGATGCATTGCCATCTGTTACTGGTGAGAGAAGGGAACCATGTGAGGCAGGAAGAGGAACTGCCTGTCCTCATTTTACAGGTAGAAAGTCCAACTTTTATAGATCGTTACTTTCTTTCTTTTTATCAGTTTTTATTCTTTGCCTGCTTCCTCTGCTTTGATTCCTTTTTCTAAATACCCATTTGCACTGTGGACAGTCACCTCGGCTGTCATTACCATGGCACCGGCAGCAGGCTGGTGGTCGTTGGCAGATTGTAACACTGTTGGGGGACACAAGCGCCCTCCTTAAAAGCACCAGCGCTCCTCTGACTTGGTTCCTGCAGTGGGCAGAAAACATGGGCAGTCCGTCAGCACCCAGTGCCATCTTCGCTTCATCATACAAACGCACCGTTTTAGTTAAGAGCATTCATCATGGGTGCCCGAGAAAGCCACTTATTGTGCATTCTCACCCAGCCCATCACACAGTCGTCCCTGCATCTCTGTCAGGGCTTTTGTGATGGAGCGTTTAGTTCGCTTCTCCTCAAATAAGGCAGCCTCAATGCAGTGCGGGAGCTTGATGGATATCTTTAAGAACAACAAGCTTCCCAAATGCCCTGACACATACTCGATGCTCAGATAGCCTGCTTTGTGGAGAATCAAGATCACACCGTTCCTTTCACTCCTCCAGATGCCAGAGAGAAACAATTACTCACCTCCCATGCCAAAAAGATTCTTTGGCCTGCTGAGTTAAAATCATTTATTTGCTTTTATGGTGTCGGGCTGCATTCATTGAGATTAATTTGGCTCATCTAACTTGAATAGGCTACCTCATTAATCTGAAAAACTTTGAAAACCGGCGTGTGACAGGGACTGCTGTTAGTGCTTTGGAAACATGTAAAAGCAGAAGAGCAGATGCGATGGAGGCTGGCAACCCTGCTCGCCCAGGGTGCTGGCTGTCTCCGGAGGGGACGATGCCCCTGTAATTGGGTCCTCTCCTTCCAGGGACTCTTAGGCAATGGCTAGAGGCAGAATGTGGATGGCAGCCGTCATTTGTCTCGTGAGGCATGCCTTGGGACACCACTGTTATTTCTGGGGCCAAGTTCCCACCTGCTCTGGCAGGAATTATTACTGGAAGCTGGCAGATGAGGCTTCATAGCAAATAGAGCAGTAAAACTGGAAATTGAAGAATGTCTGTTGCTACAGCAAAGTGAGCCTCATAGAAAATTCCTGAAGGCAGCAGAAACGTGATCCATCATTAGTCAAGTAAACGCGCGTGAAAAACTACTTCTGGTATAGAAACCAGGTAGCTCCGGAGTGACTGCACAGCTCCTCAGGTTGTTTGCCTAAGTGTGTGTGTGTGTGTGTGTGTGTGTGTGTGTGTGTGTGTGTGTGTGTGTGTGTGGTGGTGGTGGGGGGCGGGGCCTCATAGTGTGGGACCTGTTCTGTCTGCACTGAAATGTTCTCTGGAGTAAGCAGCTCAGAAACCTGGTTGGTATGGGCACCATGCCCTCCCTCGTCACCGAAGTGCTCTACTCTAAAACCATGGAAACCAGATAGGCAGAGCAAGTGCATCCTCCCGGCCACACTTCCTGCGGGAGCGGGGAGAGCCTCCAAAGCAAAGACCTTAGGACCAAACAGGCAGCAAGCATTTTTAGAATCACACCGGAAGAAAAGCAGCTGTGGAAAAGCAAACACAGCAGCTGGGACATCCCACTGCAGTAGACCGCCTCAAAAGGCTCATGCCACATGCACTCTTCCTCTTCTTTTTTTCAAATGTTTTTATTGACTTGAGGGAGAAACATTAACAATGAGTGAGAATCATTGATCGGCTGCCTCCTGCACACCCCACACTGGGGATTGAGCCTGCAACCCAGGCATGTGCCCTGACTGGGAATTGAATCGTGATCTCTTGGTGCATAGGTCTATGTTCAGCCACTGACCCACGCTGGCTGAGCGTCCATGCATTCTTTTCTACAAGAATGAGGAGCTGGGCAGATGTCTGAGGGCGTTCATCTCAGAGGTTCCACAGCAGGTCCGGGGTCAGCAGGCTGCGTGCTGCTCTGCCTGCCGGTGGGTTTTCACTGACACTGCAACCGTCTCTGTGGGCAGTGCCTTAGGACCAAGGCCCTTTTCTGAAAGGAGGGTTCTTTGATAACTAAAAAAGAATACGCCTCTTTTTAAAAAAAATATATGTATTTTATTGAATTTTTACAGAGAGGAGGAGAGAGGGATAGAGAGCTAGAAACGTCGATGAGAGAGAAACATCGACCAGCTGCCTCTTGCATACCCCTTTCCGGGGATGTGCCCGCAACCAATGTACATGCCCTAGACCGGAATCGAACCTGGGACCCTTCAGTCCGCAGACAGATGCTCCACCGCTGAGCCAAACAGGTTTCGGTAAGAATAGGTTTCTTAAGGTAGAACAAGTGCTTCCATCGATTGGTGGGATTTATCCTGCAATAGAAGGGCCCCTGAACTGCCACCTTAACTTGTGCGTCATAACACCCTTTACATGAAAACACAAACACAGTTCCCCGTACATCCGGAAATATGGGCACGGTCCATTCACAAATTCATGTTTGGAAATAAGCTGTAAAGTCATCCTTATATTACACCCCTTGGGAAAGGTTGAAAAGTAGGTCTGTATCTCAGCATTACAGAAAGAACCATGGGCTGACTCCTTGCAAATTACATCCTTGTATGTGCGAGACATGTTTTGCAATTTTAGCGTTTGTGACAGCTTGGCATTTCAGCTTGGGCCACCCCAGTAAGGAAGCTAAGGGTGAAGGAAGGACAACCAAGGCTTAGTGTAACTCCTAAAGCAGGTATGCCCCACCAGCTGTCCTTCCTGAGGCCTACAGAATTTACATAATACAAAATATCTAATTTGAATGAAGTTTCGTTAGGAAAAGGTTTCCCATTTCAAGACAAAATCTAAAGCAATAAGTCTACAAGTTCACTAAAATCTTTTGATCAAATGTAGCTAACTAAAGAATTAAGGCATGCAGTATTCTGAATTTCAATGTTTAGTAAAGCCTAAATCCCTAAGCATATGGGTCATATCTAATTTTAAGTTTTGGTCATTCTTGAATTTATATGTTCACATAAATTTTAGAATCAGTTTGAACAATCCTATAGTAGGTCTGTTGAGATTTTAAAAACAGGACTGAATTCTTTGCACTGTCATCTTCTCATCCACAACCATATTATTATTCTCCATTGATTCTAGCAAACTTGTTGGGCTTTTTCCAGGTAACCTTTTAAAAAAATTGCTATTGTGGATATCCACTTTCCTCCTATAAAATTTTCCAATTAGATATTGCTATTATACATCTGTATACTGTCACTTTTTTGAATTTTCTTCATTGGTTCTGGTAGCTGAATAGTTAATGGTCCTTGATCTTCTATAATAGGTAGTTGTTTTACAAATAGTAAGATTTGCTCTCACTTCCCAATATTGACATTGTGTTTTTGTGTCTTCTGCACTGGCCAGGAGCTCCAAGAACATCACTGAATAGAACTAGTAAAGGGTATCCTTGTTTGATCTCTGAGAAGAGTGTGTTTTATATTTTACCTTTGAGTACGATGTTTGCTTGAGATATCTTTTAACAAGTCCAGGAATCTCTAGGTTGATAAGTTGTTCAGGTTTTTAATGAAAATGGTATGTCTCCAGTTTAAAATGAGTCCTCTTGGGGAACTTACCATTAAAGCTAAATATGTAACACTCCAACGTTACTTGTTTTACTTTGGTACCAGGCAGCTCAGAGCCAAAGCATCACAACTGCATGCCCTGGCCTGCTCATCTATATATGGTCTTGGCATCCTTCCTTCCCAACCCTTCACCTATTTTGATTTACATCTTCCTAGATATTTCCCTCTTACTTTACTACTTTGCTTAGATTTCCTATCAATTTCCACAAATCTTTGATAGAATGAGATTAGTACAAATAAGAACTTTAGAAAAGATATGGTACCATTAGGATTTAAAATAAAAAATGAGAGAAATTTAGTAGGGGTAGAAAAATACTGTGGGAACTTTTAATAATCCACCAGTTACCAGGAAATTAGGTGGAGACCCAACACTGTGGCTAATAAGTCTCTTGGGTGGCCATATAAATCAAGTGTCGGAAAACATCTGGAGTTAAAATGAGTGTTGTGGGGCCTCAGGAACCTGGTCCAGAGTTAATTTAGTAGTTAAATGAGGCCTGCTTATACTTACATTGTTATACTTACATTGTTAAGCTTAATTATTTGTCATAAGTAGCAATTAGAAAGCACATTTTAATTTCATATAATGAAGTGAAACCCAGGAGCCATTAACATTTTCAGTAATAGGTGCTTAATAAAAGTGTGAACATACAATCCCAGGCCATTTCAAATCCTTTAAAGAAGGCATCAAGGAACAGTGGTTTTACCTACCTTATAGTTAAGTGATCAAACTAAAAAATAACTATTCCTCTCAACAAAAGTGTAAAAAAGACCCGTAATTTACAATTGTCTTTGACAGGCCTTTAACTATAACATATATATTTCTGTAATTTAAATAAAAACCTCACTTGTTTTCCTTCCTCAGGACTCTAAAATATAGAAAACTGATAAAAATGAATTTTAGGAAATGGATTTTATTACTTAAATAGGTTATGTCATAGTCCCCATATGCTTTGACATAATGATTTCACAAAAACAAATCTTTAATTTATGAACATCTTAAGATAACTTGAAAAATATATAGTAAAAAAAAAAGGTAAAACCTACAAAGATTTTATTAATATGCACACTGCCAGTCCATCTAAATTTGGCATATCCAATCTACCTAATTTGTTTAATGTGATAATTTTAAAAAATTCCATTGGGAGATGAATGACATATTATGCCCTTGACAAGTGTGATATTGTTTTGACTAAGAAAGCAAAATACAATTCCTGGTTCTGTTGTTGTTCTGGCTCATCAAAACTAATACAATATTTGAGGGTGAGGTTCTGCCATGCCCAGTGGGGTTAGGCAAATGTAATAGAAGGTGCACTGGGTAGACACATATTTTCATCATATAAATTTTCTGGTAGTTCCTCGTCATCTCCATCAGGAAAATAGGTAGGGAATGGTAGATTTTTGGAGAAATCCTTATATGCAGGTAGTATAGAATCTTTGATCTGGAGGGAAGAAGCAAAGAGTTTATTAATGAGTGCTATCAATTAAATTACTTAAAGATAGGATGTTTTACTTATTATTCATAATCAAAAGAATATCTTCCTATATTTTCTAATGTGAATGCAACTGTTATATAACGTAAAAGGAACTCAATGTATCCTTTTTATTTGAATTTAATTAATCCAATGATATAATCTTCCTCAAGTTAACCACCTATCTCATAAGAAAAATTTCTAAAACTACCCAACAGGATAAATTATATTCCATAATTTCTATTTAAATATCAGTTATATCCAAGTTGATTTTTCAAATATAAAGACTGATATAAACTATAGATTAAAAGGTGTTACTATCTACTTCTTAATGATTTCATCTACTCATATTGTCTATTTTTATTATTTTATACCATAATTTTTGAGCTGAGATTAAAAATATTAGGTCTAGTAATAATTAATGTCGTTTTCTAATACTTTTTAAAATCGAATTTATTTAAACAATACAACAAAATTTAATCAACAATATAGTTGCCGTTGTTTTCTACTACTTGTGCCCAACGCTCAGGAAGCATTTTAATCCCTCTGTTGTAAAATTCTTGTGATTTTGATGCAAAAAATTCGGTCAATGCATTTTTGAGGCATTCTTCATTATTAAATTTTTTTCCAAGAAGAAAGTTTTGCAAAGAAAGAACGAAACAAATGGTAATCGGAAGGGGCAATATCAGGAGAATATGCAGGTTGAGGGAGAACTTCCCATTCCAACTGGCGCAGTTTTTCAGCAGTGATTCTTGCAGTATGCGGTCGTGCGTTATCGTGGTGAAGAATTACACCCTTCCGATTAATCAGCGCGGGTTCTTTTTCTCAAAGCTTGGGCTAACCTTTCCAATTGGGCACTATACACTGCACTTGTAATGGTTTGGTTAGATGGTAAAAGTTCATAATGAAGAATTCCTTTAAAATTCCACCAAACACACAACATCACTTTTTTCGCATGCAAGTCAGGTTTTGGCGTGGGCAGTGGAGCCTCATTTTTGTCCAACCATTGAGGCCGCCTTTTCAAATTAACATACAGCACCCATTTTTCATCTCCGGTAACAATTTGCTCTAAAAACGGCAAACGGTTTTGACGAGAGAGGAGCGAACTGCAAATTGTGACTCTTTGATTACGGTTGTTGTCGGTCAACTCATGAGGAACCCATTTTCCAAACTTTTGGACTTTGCCAAGCGCACGCAATTGATTGGAAATTGTTTTTTGTGAACAATTTAAAGTTGTCGCAAGCTCTTGTTGGGTCATTTGAGGATTTTGCACCAAAAGAGCTTGAAGAACTTCTTGATCAAAATTGGACACACGGCCTCGACCACTCTTGTCATCTAACAAAAAATTTCCCTCACGAAATTTCTCAAACCAACATTTTCTGGCGCTAACTGCATCTTGACCAAGAGCACTACAGATATTTTTTGCAGCCTCACTTGCTTTTCTTCCTAATTGGAACTCGTAAAGCATGCAGTGCCAAATATGCTCTTCATCCGCCATCTTCTTAGCCCTAGTTTTGCAACAAAACCCAAACCAAACACAAAATTTTTCAAGCAAAACTTATTAATTGCACTTCACACGTTCTGTAGATACCACGTGTTTGAAGGTTATGTCAATACAAGTCAACGCCAAGCAAGATTTTAAACGAATGTTTTAAAACGACATTAATTATTACTAGACCCGATAGTTTACCTAGTATTTTTTAGTCTTAATTGTACAAACACATAATAAAAAAACATCAAGTTTTATTAAGGAAATCAGCTTACATTTAAAAGGTAGCATTCTTGCATGTACCTTGGTTGCTGGCACATCCCCAGTAGGAGGTGTGCAAGAGGCAGCTGATCGATGACTCTCTCATCGATGTTTCTAACTCTCTATCCCTCTCTCTTCCTCTCTATAGAAAATCAATAAAATGTATTTAAAAATAAAAATAAAAAAAATAAATAAAAGGTAGCATTCTTATTTATAAGCTAAGAACATAATAGTATTCTTAGGGCTGGAAGTTTACAGTCCAAAGGTGCAAGACTTGTATGAATTTTTGTGCACTTAATTTTGCCTCTGGATTTATTTCTTCCCTGCCTTCACCAAGATCCCTTCAATTACCTACTTCATTCTTTTCATATTTATGTGTATTGGCAAAGCAGTTCAAATCTTGTGAAAAAAGGTGGGGGGTTAGGACAGACAAATCAGGCACAACTTGAAAATAAATGAGGACATAGGGATGAGCACACATGAGTAGTATTTAATAACATAGCCTACATTATGCTGTAAATAGTTTCTTAGGCTCCCTTAATACATTTAGTGAGTCTAAACAACAAAAGCTTACATTAATGAAACAGGCTGGTCAACCCAAGGACTTGTCTTTACTAATTTTAGAATTAAAGACACTGGCAGCCCCACACTGAGAGAGCAAACGCTCCCACGGAGTGAGTGGATGTCCAGCCAGAAGTGCTCATTCTCCTCGGGCAAGGACTTACCTGCCATGCAATCACCCGGGAGAACAGAAAAAGTGAGCTGAATATTTTCAAAAGATGTACCACACTGCTGACATTTAAACACAAGCCCACAAAATATTCCTTCAAGCCTATACCTTAATGTTTGAAGCACACATTTTAGATTATCATAATTCAAAGACTTTTTATTTATTTAAAAAAATATATATTTTACTTTTTTACAGAGGAAGAGAGAAGGATAGAGTGTTAGAAACATCGATGAGAGAGAATCATCGATCAGCTGCCTCTTGCACACCCCCTATTGGGGATGTGCCTGCAACCAAGGTACATGCCCTTGACTAGAATCAAACCTGAGACCCTTCAGTCTGAGGCCGACACTCTATCTACTGAGCCAAACCAGCTAGGGCCCTTTTTTTAAAAATCGAACCTGGGACCTTTCAGTCCGCAGGCCGACGCTCTATCTACTAAGCCAAACCGGTTTTGGCAAGATAAGTTCTTTTTAAAATTAAAACATGTCTGTTGAAAATGCACTCACTAGTGTGGTAACAGTTCAAAGGTGACTAGACATTTCTCTTCTGTTGAAAGTTTCTCAAAATATATTTGGACTCCTCTTTAGAAATCGCCTTTGTGGGCCTTCTGCCTGTCTCTCTTCAGTGACAGTAGGCTACCATCCATTCGACAGCTGACTTTTTTAAAGCAATTTTTTATTAAGTGGATGAAAAGTCTGAGTAATAAGTGTTGGTTTTCAAGACAGTTGATCTATTCATCCCCAAGAGTTACTAAGAAGCATCTAAGTTGCTGAGGTGGGACCTGAGAAGACACAGCAGCAATAGTGGAGTTCAGCTGGAAAGCCAGCCTAGAGTCGTGAATGCAGCAAATGGGGTTATAAGGACTTGACAACATTAAAAAATCCACCTGCTATCCAGAATAACTTTATAATGGAAAATAAACACTTTCCTCTCTTTTATTGGGTTGTGATATGCATAATGTAATAAATCTGGATTGCAGAGGTAGGGATACATTGAATTATGAAGCCAAAATGTTACGAGAAATACAATGACAACTTGTTGGCTTCAACCACTTGTCACTATAGTCACTTGGAGAATGGATCACCTGGGTTTGGAAACCTATTTAAGCCTATGCACCTGCAATCTTAACGAAAGAAACAAGAGAATAATCCAGTCAAAAAGTGAGGAGTGCCAGGAAGGGAATTTTAATTGTAAGATTAAAACAAATACTGTACCTTATTCCAGTAACAGAACTATTTTAAGAAATAAAAATGCATATAGGAAAAGACCCAATATGAAAAATTTAAGGTTCAAGTTTTAACCTATTTTTGTGGTTGTTGGAAAATTAGTGAAAAGTATATTTCCAGGAATAGCTGATATAACTTATTACAAATTTATTTTCAGAATGGGAGGTTTAAAACTCGTGATTTATCACTTTGTATGGTATTACAAAGGCTTAAATCCAAGGTAGAATATTTAATTTGTGGAAGTAAGTCTCTGAGAGTCCGAGGTTTTCTTCAAATCTATCCTGTACAATCTGTTTTCTTTCATATGTTGAACATAAAAATGAACATAAAAATGAGCATGTGTAGTTTTAGGGAAAATACTTAAAAATACAATCAGAGCAATGCCAGTAATAATAACAGAATCTCTCTTTAAAAATGTCTACCTTTAACCATCTTTCTTCTGGATTCTCTCATTTAATCTCTACCTCCAGTATTTCTGGTTCCGGTGTCAAAGTACTCTTAAGAACCTAAGAAGTCGTTATTTGGAATGACAGAGATATATTCATATTTTGGCAAGAGTATCCTAATCTCCTTTGTATATTTCTGCTTACTGGTCCTACTTTTTTTTTTTTTTAAATATATATTTTGATTTTGTACAGAGAGGAAGGGAGAGAGATAGTTAGAAACATCGATGAGAGTCATCGATCAGCTGCCTCTTGCACACTCCCTACTGGGGATGTGCCCGCAACCAAGGTACATGCCCTTGACCGGAATTGAACCCAGGACTTTTCAGAGTGCAGACCGACGCTCTATCCACTGAGCCAAACCGGTTTCGGCTGGTCCTATCTTTTTTACAGACATATACTATAGGTTGTTCTGTACAATTTTTGCACTCAGTTGCTACTAAAAAGCAAAAAAATAATTTAGCAGAGAACTCATGTACTAGCTTGAAAATTAGGGGCTGTTTTTCATATTCATGTAAATGAACAATGGGAAATAAAGACAGCTATACATACCTTTACTAAGCAATTTCTATGTCCAGGTACAGAGCCATTTACATAGATTATATTGTGCTTTGTATTTATTCTCCACACCTAAAGCCATAAATGAAATCATACTTTAAAAATTTGAGAATATATAACACACAGAGTTCACGTATCCTCCACCCCTCAATAACTGTAAAACCTATTAGAACAATCATACTGTTTAAACATTAAATTGAACAAACAATAATAAAACAGACACATTAAGTCCATACTCTGGTGCCTCTGTATTCAGGCAATGATTTAACCATTCCTAAAAAGAGCCACTTCAGAAACTTACTTTCAGTCCAAATGCTGTCCTATCTATGTTTCCCATTTTCCCAGGCATTTTAGTTCCAGGCCAGACTCTGGCGACATCCTAAATGAGAGAACCAAAATTAGCACTTTTAAATACTCTCAATTTAAAACAGTTCTGATCAAAACAAAGTGCAAACTAAGATAGGAATTATTAAAATGTTTAATTCCCTCCCCCATTCTGTTAGGACTTAGTAAAGAACTAAATCTGTTTTAGACACATTTACCCCAAGAGGGGTAATCTAGACTAAATTAGATCAGAGCGACAAAATACAGACCAAGAACAAAGTTAGGAGAAAAACTCAATAACGAGAGAGAAGTCGCTGTGCTAACACTGCTTGAGAATTTAGAAAGAAAAATAAAGGACATACAAACATGTCACACCACCAAAGGAACAAATAACTTTCTGCCTGCTTTCATGAATCTCCCATATCAGCCCATATAATGGACTCAATCCGCACCTACTCTCTTCCCTTGCTTTTGATGTTACCTTCCTTCAGAATGATTAAAGGACAGTTACTTATCAGAATATTGAGTTTGTTTGTCCAGCCCTGGTTATCCTCGACTCACATAAATCAAACAGCTTCCCACAATCTCTACTATTTTGGCTCTGATAATGGATAATAATTTTACATTTCAAGAAGCAAATCTGAATTCCATCTAAAACGGGAAAGGGTTTCAGGACACATGAATTCCTGAAATAGAAAAACTTTTGCATCACTACTCTCATAACAGAAGTCCAGGGGAAGTAACTCATTAAGAGATAACCCAGCTTAAAAGATAATTGTGAATATTATAGATGAAGTATCACTCTTATTTATTCCATATTTATTCTATAAATGCATCCGGTGATAAACACCTACTTACCCTTACATTACTAAAATAAGATTCTGCCCTCCCCAATTATATTTACTCTCCTTAAAAGCATACCCTAAGAGTCACTTGCTAATCCCTATGAAAGTATTTACAAACACAGAACACAGTATTTCATGACAAGTAATTAACTTGTTTTAAAAATTAGGCATGTAGAAGTCCATTATAAGAACTTTAATGTAATTCATATGCCACATATTTAAAGGCAGTTTAATATTTTTAGTGTATTGCTATAACCATTTTCATCAACCCCCCCCCCAAAAAAAAACATTTCATACCCATTAGTGATAACTCCCCCAGCCCTATACAAACTTCTAATCTATTTTCATCTATGCATATTTGCCTAGGATGGACATTTCACATAAATGGAATACACAATATAAAGTCTACTGTGATTGGCTTCTTTCACTTAGCAAAATGTTTTCAAGACTCCGCCATGTTGTAGCATTTCAAAACTTTCCATTTTATTGCTAAATAAAAATGTGTGAATACACCACTCATCCATTCATCAATTGATGACCCTTTGGGTTGTTTCTAATTTTTTGGCTATCATAAATAATGCTGCTATGGCTATTTATGCACAGGTCTTTGTGTGCATGTTCATGTCTTTTGGAGATATATATATATCCGGAGATTATATATATATATATATATATATATATATATATATATATATATACACACACACACACACACACACACACCAAAGAGTGGAATTGCTGGGTCTTATTTTATAGTTAAACATTTTTAGCAACTGCCGCACCATTTTTATATTCCTACTGACAATGTATAAGGGTCCCAATTCATCCACATCCTTGCCAACTTTTGTTATCATCTGTCATTTTAATTATAGTCATTCCATTGAGTGTTAATGGTATCTCAGTGTGGTTTGGATTTACACTAAAGATGTTAAGCATCTCTTCATGTGCTTATTTGGCCATCTGTATCTTCTGGGAGAATGTCTATCCAAGTCCTTTGCCTATACTTAATTGGGTTATTTTTTTACTATTGAGTTATAAGAGTTCTTTATATATTCTGGATACAAGTCTTAGCAGATATGATTTGTAAATACTTCAATTCTGTGAGTTGGTCTTTTCATTTTCTTGATGGAGCTGTATGCAGATCAAACAAAACTTACTCCTATTTTTTCTTAAGGTCTTATGTCGATGATAAACCTCATTTTAATAACTATTTTATATAATTAAAACTATAAATTTCACATATTTTATATAATTAAAACTATAAATTTCACATTTCTAAAAAGTTGCAAAAATAACACAAACTCTTATTCTACCCAAAATTAACAACTGTTTACAGGTTTCCCACTTGCTTTATCACTCACTCTATATGTTTGCACATCTCCTATATCCATAATTTACTGGTAGACATGATGCTCCTTTACCTATAAGTATTTCAGTGTCTATTTCCTAATTCTCTTACACAATACAATTAAGAAACTCAAAGATTTAATACATTTATCTACAGTCCACATTCTAATTTTGTCAACTGTCCCAATAATGTTCTTTACTATTTCTGCCAGTCCAGATCTACTTCAGAATTACACATAGTTGCCATGTCTCTTTAGTCTCCTTAAATCTGGAGGAGCCCCTCAGCCTTTCCTTGTCTTTCGTGACCTTGACATTTTTGAAGGTTACAAACCAATTATTTTGTGGACTATCACTCACTTGGGGTTTGTCTAATGTTTCCCTGCGATTAGATTCGGGTGATGCATTTTCGATGGGAATCACCATAGAAGTGACGATGTGCCTCCTGAACGGATTCCAGGAAAAGAACACATTGTGTTGGTTTGTTCAATTACTGGTGATGTATAACATTGATCAGTTAAAGATGTGTTCACTCAGTAAATTCACTCTAAGGTTATTATTTTCCCTTTTGTAATTAATAGGCAACTTGCTGTGGGACTATGTAAACATATAGGTCCATCAAGCTTTCACCACTTGTTTTAGCATCCATTGGTAATTCCTCTGATGGCCATCAAAGTGAAATTCTAAATCTAACATCCCTTCCATACTTATTAGCTGAGATTAAGTGTAAGAAAGAGCAATCCATTTTCTGTATTTATTAATCTATTTGTATCAGTGTGAAATCATTAATCCTAAGTTTCCTCCACCCCTTTTTATTTTGCAAGTGGGAGCAAATTGTAGCTGGATCCTGGGTCCTTTTCACATATTTTAAAAGCACTTCCTTCATTTCTTGAACAAGCTGGTGTTTAGAAACCAAGATCTAGGCTCTACTTGTGTTCATTGCTATGGGATATCTTTGCTTTTTACGCCCTTTCAGCATCTAAGACATACATATATTTATACCCATTCCTTTCTTTACATAAACACATAGTAAATATATACTGGTACCTGCAACTGGAATTCAACACTACAGGATTCATTTTAATTTTCTTCCTTTTCATAACTTAATACCCTTCTCTAACAGTGAGAAATGTGGCTCCCATTAGTAATATATTTACCTATCTTCTCAACCTTAAATTCACAGAAAATTATTTCAGAATAGCTACTTAATATCATCAACACTAATAAGAGAAAAATGCAAATTGACCAAATATTTAAGTTAATTTGCAGATGCAGAGCGAAGCTGTGGAGACGGGAGGGAAGCCTGCATTGGTTTGCTCTGGCTGCAGAATCTTCCTGCAACAGGCCTCTAGTTGCAAATAAACATAATTAGAATTCAACACCTATGCACAGTACCTTTTAAATTTATACTCAAGACATATGGCCAGATACTCTGTTCAAAAGTTCAGTTACTCCCCCACCTGTTTGGTGAGGTTATGTTATTCATTTCAAACAGATTCAACTTTAATTCTATTCCATTATGGATCCCCCATTCTTTGTATTTTATTTTGAATTCATAAAATATTTACATGGTTTCAACTATAAAAATTAAAAAAAGTATATGTGTGGAAGTGTCTCTCTTACCACTTTTGAGCCCTTCCATACTGTTCCCTCCCATCTCCTGTAGGTAACCAATCTGTTTCAGGGTTATCTTTTAGGTCCTTCCTTTTTGCAAAAACAACCAGGTAACATGTGCATTTCCTTATATCCTGGAAATCACCTTCTCATTCTTTTTTCAGCTGCATTGAGCAGATGTACCATACTTTATTCATCCAAACTCCCAGGTATGGACATTTATGCCTGTAGTATAAATAATGTTGCAATAACGAATTTTGAGAAAATGAGGATCTTCAGAAGTAGCATTGCTGTGTCGTTCTATTAGATATTGCCACACTATACTGTATTTTATCCCCAACAAAAGATGCACTAGCTTGTATTCCCACCAGCAATGCATAAGAACCTGTTCCTCTATATTCTTACTAACACAGTGGCAAAAATCAAAGCTTCATAACACATTCTGCTACATAAGAATTTAGTAACTCAAGAATGGTTTTAATCTGTGTTCCTCTTATGAAAGTAGAAATATTCCCACTTAATACTGATATATCTGTACACATATATCACGCTTTATAGATTAAACTTGCATTACTATGATGCTCCAATAAATTACACTTCCTCACTCCCCCGCCCCAGCACTTTATGCTGTATCTCTGGGAGAATAGATCTGAATTAGCAATACAAAGTCCTTTACCATTTCTTCTCTTACACCATTATATTATCCTTGACAATCCTTAAACTGCCATTTAAGGAAAAATAAATAAGTGTGAAGGAACCAGATGAAAAGGCATTCTAATCCCTAATTTCTTGCAGCTGACTTCAGAGTGTAGGAGGGGAGTCAGATGGGAATGAGAAAGTAGGCAGAAAAATATTTAGAATGCTGACTGTAGGAATGTAGGGAATAACTAAATGATTCAAGTGGGTCTCTGGAAAGTAAGACCAGGACCCATAAAGGTGTGGTGTGTACTAGGACTCACCTTGACTAGGATTAACATTATGTGACTTGCTTCCCAAGGTCAGACTAAAGCACTGTATGTGCAGAAGTTTGAACCTATCGTGACATTAAAGAGAGCACCACTAAGTTATACTTACACCAGTTGAAATAGCTCCAGGTCTCCGGTGAGTTTTCGTTTGACCATGAGAAGCAGGCTGGCCTTTAAATCCCCATCGTTTCATGACACCTTGAAACCCTTTACCAATGCTGAGCAAAAAAAAAACATCAGAATTTGCACAATGAACGGAGCATAAAATTCACACAACTGTACACTTTCTTGATAGTACTTTAACTAGAAAAGGCTATATAAGCAAAACCGCAAATGAACATTCTTTTATGTCTGACCTGGTTTGAATCCCTTCCTTAAATCTTATATAAAATGATTAATTCAAGATTGTGAGACAAGAGCGAGCTAAGCAAAGGGAGTCCAATTTTTTATTGGGGGGTTTTATAAGCCTTTGAAACAACATGGTAAGAGTGGTATATTTCTAAAGTCCCAAAATACTTATAAAGAGATATGGCAGACAACCATTAAGATCCCCACACTTCCTGGTACCCATGCCCTCAAGTTCTCACCTCTTCTTGAGCCTGGGTGGACCTAGCAACTCATTCCTAAGGAATAAACGATGGTAAAATTGATGAGATGCCACCTCTGACATTAGGTTACAAGGAGAATGTGGCTCCCATCTTGGCACTCTCTTGCTTTATAGGCTCTGAAGGAAGCAATCAGCCATACTGTAAGCTATTCTACAGAGTGAAGAGGCAAGGATGGCTCTAGCCAATAATTGTGGACCGAAGGCTTGGCGGCAATTCTCCCCGAGTCGAACACTAAGATGACTGCAGCCAGAGGAAATCAGCTAAGTTTACTGGGATTTCTGACCACAGAAGCTGTGAAGTAATAAATATTTGTTGTTTTAAGTTGTTATGATTTAGGGCAATGTGTTATGCAGCAAAAGAAAACTAATGCAACAGAATATTAAATAAAACAATAATACTCTAAAAGCTGCATGTTTTACTATTAGAAGATACCAGATGGATATTGGTTTCAAGGCTTGAATAGAAAGCTAATGAAAAAATCAGAATTACAATTTCTTAAAGTGAAATATTTCACTTTAAACAAAACCATTCTACTTTCAAAGTCTGTAACTAGAGAAACATTCTGCCATGCAGGTGGAAAGCGAACAACACTGTGATTCAAAGCATTATTATGTCTGCTGCTATCAGTACAAATCATATAATAAAAGGGCTTGAATAAATTGTAAGCTGTAGTGGACACATTTTTATAGACTTAAGATGAACATTTTTTTCAGCTTTCATTAGATAATATGTCAACACATTTTAAAGTCATGTTTCCTAACCCTAACAAAGCTAGCTGTTATTAAATAGATAGTGAATAGTTCAGGCCTTTTACACAAAAGCAGAAGGTTACAAAAACCACCTTATATCCACAAGCACTTTGCTGTGCATTTAACAAGAATTACCAGAGAGTAATGAGTTGAAATAAGCCTGTATAATATTTTGTTGAACTCTTGATTACCTAACAGCTGAACATTATCATATCACAGGTCAAATGTTATTTGTATATGAATTTAACTGCAGTGTATACATATTTTCTGCCTCAAAAACTTAAACTCAAACTTAAACTCAAAATAATTCTTATTCCTGATATAAAAGCTAAAATGGAAGTTTCATAAATATTACATTTAAAAATTATAAGATTAACATTTAAGAAGAAAAGCTATGATAGTGAATTATTTTACTGAAATCTGCCTCAGAAACTTAAATGAAAATATTTGTTAACAGATTTTAGGACATATTGGAAAATAAAAAGGAAATACCTAAAAAGTCACTTGAATCTATCCTGTTTCACAAATAATACTTTAAAGAAAAAAAACGGGAGGGGACTACAACACAAATTCTAAAATGAACTTGTTTTAAAAATATCACATTCTAATCTGGCCATTCTTGGTAGAAAGTTTGCTGGTGCCTTCTGAGTTCTCAAACTGATTCATTCTCTTAAAACAAGAGCATGACCGTGCCCAATAACATACATGCCAGGTAAATTACAGAAGATATTGAGCTCAATTTGAGAGTAAATGAATATAAGATGAAAATGGTATCCTGAAAGTGCTAATTATGTCTGCTAATTACAGATTGTTTTTAATCTAGCTCTAGAGTACACCATGTTGTTATACTGGGTACAATGGGAACCTCTTCAATAAATAACTTTCTAACAAAAGGACAAAACACAATGACAGACAAATTACTGGCTTAATTCAGATGATGGAGAATAGAGTGCACCTGTTGATCCATGGGTGGTACAGGTACCTATTCTTTTGTTTCTCTCAGTTGTCTCCCAACTTGAGAACAAAACAAAAGAAATGAACTTATCTATACTTAGCATACCCACGCACATTTCAAATATAAGGTTTTCACAGGTCAAATACAATAAACCATTTTACCACAAATGATACCCAACACAAAGCACACGTGCTTCACTCCCACACCCTTTCTAATGCAATCTTTAATGACAGCAGAGAAAAAGCAAATCAAGGAAAATCCAAATCAGAACATGTTAAAAGTTCCAAATTGAGACATATGAAAAATAGAAAAACAAAATTTTGTTTATAGCATTTATACTTGTTAAACCAAGGAATCATTAAACTCAAAACTATTTAAATTTAGACTTGATTGTTATTTCTTGGCTTATTTCCTTAGCATACTTCCTTGTGTCCACCCTAGAGAAGTCAGAGTGATTCTGTTACTGACAATAGCTGTGCCTTAGGAAAAAAGATGATTCGTTTCCTTTATTTTGCCTTCAGTTTCCAAATGTTGTGTAATGGACATACCTTTCATAAACATTTAATAGATGGTGTTCAGAAAAGGAGAAAAAGGACTTAAAGGTATGACTAAGAATCTTGCAAAAGAGAATGCATAACTTAATGTGTCTAACTGCATTCTATAAATCTCTAGAAATTACTACCAGGTGAATTTCATTCCCATGCCATATTATGGCAAATGCCTAAATGTCTACCAGTACACAGAGGTTTTAATAAAAACCCACCAGTATTTCCTCACTTTGTGGGAAATGGCCTTTGACTTCGTGGTTCAGGATACAGTTATATATGGAGATAAAACAAAATGACCATGAGATGAGCAGTGCTCTCAAGTTCATCCATTCTGAGTGCTCTGAGAACTTCCTCCAAAATTCTCATCACTCAGTCTTTCCTTGCCACTGGCTTTTACCTCCTCTCTCAGATGTATTCCTTTCTCCTCTCTCATCCTTTACCTGCAACCTATTTTTCTCTCCAAGTGTTCTCTGGAACTCACTCTGAGGTTAATCTCTTAATCCCCAAACTTAAAACCTTTTAATAACTTTTTATTATGGAAGTTTTAAAACATATTCAAAAGCAGAAATTCTAGTACAAAGAATTTTTGACTCAAGGACTATTTTGTCTCATCTATTTCCCTCCCCTATAATTCCATTGTAATAAAAAGCTAATATGCAAATTGTTCCCTAAGAAGTTCAACTGCTTGTTATGACATGCACTGACCACCAGGGGCAACGTGGAACATGGCCAAAGACCAGAGGCATTGGTGGGGCGCTGAGGGAAACGAGGGAAGGAGGAGGTGGGGAACCTGATTTGCCCTGATTGTCAGCCAGGCCTAGGGACCCTACCCATGCATGGATTGCATGCACTGGGCCTCTAGTTTTAAAATTCCAGATATCATATCATTCTACCCATAAATACTTCAAATATGGGTCTCTAAAAGATAAGAATCCTTTTAAAGAACAAAACCACATTACCATGATCACAACCTAAAAAAAATTAGCCAATCCTTAATATCAAATATCCAGTCCAGCTCACATTTCTCTGGCCTCTTTTAAAACAGAAGAACTGTCTTCTATCACTCCTTACCACCACTCCAATCATCACTTCCTCCCTATTCTCCTGCTTCCCTAATGCTCTTTGACATGCTCCTTTCCCCTTACAGCCACGTGAAAAGATGATCTTAGAGTCTCGCCTCTGACCCTTTTCTCACTATGGTAATAAACAGGGGTTGGCAACTGTTTTTGTAAGTGAAAGTTTTATTATAACACAGCCACGTATATTTTTCTACTTATTGCCTATGGTTGCTTTAGAGCTATGACAGAGCTGAGAAGTTGCAACAGAGACCACAATGTTCACAAACCTACATTTAGTATCTGACCCTTTGAGAAAAAGTCTGCTGTCCCCTGAAGCTATTACTAATAAACTGGAGGTCCACAAACCATGCCCACTGGCAAGAGTTTTGCTACCAGCCCATTCTACAGATGGTTGGACCATAGCTAAACAGAAGTACTGCAGCCATTCAATTACAATGTTTCAGAAAGAGAACTGAATCACCCTCTCTTCAAGATATCTTCCTCCTCCATGACTTACAGAGTGAAATTCCAAGCTATTCCCTGCTCTAAAAAAGCACACAGCATAACACTAAACTATAAATATTTCCTAACAATTTCATTAACTTGGAACACAAGGCCTTTTATAACTGGGTCCAGCCTGCCTTTTCAAACACTGCCCATTACTGATCTAGTCATAGCAGATTCCTCTGTGAATCCCTAAATATGCCCCTTTCTTATATCTCTGCTCATTGTTTCCTCTACCTCAAATACCCTTCATGCTAAAATATCCATCTTCCACTGTTACCATGAAAAAGAACTAAACGTGTTTCTCATTGTGCTATATCAGCTGTAAAGTATTTCTTTTCTTTAAAAATACCAAAATCCATACTGCAAATGTTTTTCAATCTGAACCATTTCCAATTTAAGCTTGTACTTTTTCTCTTCAGCTGATTTATGCTGTAAAAATGTTGACTTGTACGTAATCAGAAAACCTGTAACTGAGTACTTAATGGAAGAGAGACTCTTGACTTTTATAAGGATGCCCCAAGATCAGGTTTCATTTTCATCCTTATAATAAAAGGCTAATATGCAAATTGTCCTCTCCATCAGGAGTTTGAACCAGGGGGTGGGGCTGGCCCATGGCCCTTCCCCCTGACTGGCACAGCCTGATCGGCCTAATTGGGGTGGGCCGGCTGGACCTCCCCTATGCACAAATTCATGCACCGGGCCTCTAGTATTTAATAAATAAAAATGGAGGTGGGGATGAGAAAGTTAATACCAGCTCTTTGGTTAAACAGTACATTTGAACACAGGAAAATGG